GGTACTTCCCCATTTGAGGCTCCCTTGACCCAGGTGTGTCAAGTTGACAACTCAAGCTATCGAGCACAAGGATCTTCTGTAAATATGCACATCACTGAAGCTTGATATAAGGGTCTGAGGAGGTAGTTCAGTTGGTAGAGTGCTTGTTGTGAGGTAGATACTCATAACCCATGGTAAAGAAAAAAATGTCAAACATGGTAGTGTGTGTTTGTGATCCCATGGCTGGAAAGGCTGACATGGGTATATCCCTGGGACTCACCGGCCAACAAGCCTAGTTCCAGGCCAGCGAAAGACCCTGTGTCAAAGGAAACAAGGTAGGCAGTACCTAAGGAATGACACCTGAGGTTGTCCTCAGACCTCTACATGCACACAGACACATGTGCATGCATGCTACATGTAGCACACACACACACACACACACACAAGAATTCTTTTTGAAAGCGCTATCATTTAAGACTGTGTGTGCATGTATCTCTGTGTGTACTTGTTAATGTCCTTCAGTATCTGTCATTTTACAGTCCCTCTCTTGATCTATGGCTGTCATAACTAGATATCAGATTAGGAAGAGCCTGCGTAGGTCAGGGGTTACTTGGCTTGGGAGTGATGGAATCTAGCACATGAATGGATTTCCTGCTTCCTTTGTGATCTGAACTACACTTGTTCATACATGGTGGTGAAGGATTTCCTCACAGCCTTGGCCTGGGGAAGTGTAAGAAGAACTTGGAAAACTGTCCCTTGAAACATTCATTAACTAAAAAATGGCGCTAAAAGAAAACACAAGCTTCACGGAAACGCATTTGGGTTAGCACACATATGGGACACATTTCACCCCAGCCGAAGAGTTTCTGAAGGAATCCTATAAATAGGCAAACTGCTTTATGTTGGGATTCAACTCAATTCCAAAGTGCTACGGGGAGTTTAATATAAGAAACACTGGCTTTTGAAGCCCACACCTAAGTTTTTTATTATTGTTGGCATATTTACTGACACATGTAGCATACATGATTGATTGATCTCCAGGCTGTTTTGCTGAGCTCATGTTTAAGTCTTGGTTGTAGTTCAAGGCCGAATTGTATCTTTGGAATTTTATTTGAAAGAATTTTTTACAATATGAGAGAGGTCTATTTTGATTTTTTCAGTTCTGCAAGTAGCAGAATCACCCTTGGAGTTTCCTTTTTATGGATTAAGTGTTAAAATGAGAAAGTGCTGAGGTGCTGACATCCCCAGAGATTCTTCTGGCGGGCTCTATCTCAGCCCACTCCCCCACTGGCTCAGATGCTATAGCAAAACCACTTGACTTGGGTCAAGTCACAAACACACACAACTGCTACAGTAATGGTCATGTGACAGGCTACTTATCCCCCGACATAAAAACAGACCTCTGAGGATCCCAGGGAGGATTCGGGAGCACAGGCTTATGTGAAATTTGCATGCGGCCCACACGTTCCCTTGTTTCTTGGCCAATGCTGGAGCAAAATGCAGTTAAAGATAAGCCCCTGGCTGGCTGAATGGAAAACGTAATAAAATGACTATCTAGCCACTAAACCCAGATCTCTTTTCACCAAACTCTGAGCCACCTCTGACATGACCAGGGCTCCCCGGGGAAATGTCTTGGCCTTGTATCAAGTGAAGAAAGCACTCCAGAAAAGTTAGATTGTGAGATTTCTCTCATTGAAAGAAGCTCTTTGTGAAAAGGAGGGAGGAAGGGAGGGGGGCCTTGGACCTTGGCTGTGGGCTCTGTGTCCAACAAATCCCTTGCTCTTCTTATGCAAAACGATGCACCCAACGTACAATGTCCTGAGGCCACTGTGATTGCAGCTCTCATCTGAAAGTCCGCCGGGACATCCAGGTTCCTCTAAATTGTTAGTCCATTTTTTTTTCTGGAAGGAAAGGACAAAGCCCATGCCCTCCAGAGTATATTAGCTTGTTTTTTGCTGCTCTAACAAAAATATCCGTGGCTTGGTAAATTTTAAAGAGAAGAGGTTTATTGAGCTCACAGTTTTGGAGGTGGAAAGTCCAAAAAGCATGATGCCAGCACCTGTTTGACTCTGATGAAGTCCCTGTGGTGGGTGGCATCATGGCGGGAATGCACAGAAGAGGAGATTTCACTGGAAAGCCAGGGAACCATAGAGGAGGAAGGCATCCATCTTGGTCTTCCATGCCATGTCCTCATGAAAATCAGGTGGTGTTCAATGAGAACTATCTCAGCATCTTCCAAAAGCCAATGACCTTCCACCGGTGCAATAGTGGCTCAATGTTATGGGAGTAACTAACCACTCTCTAATTGGGTTTAAGGCCCACTTCGTAGGATGGAGCCCATACCTGACACTGATATCAGGCCTAGGCACCTGAGGCTAGACATGCCACATGGCATAGGGCAGAGCCTAATACTAGTTTTCCATTAAATAGTAGTATAGTGAGTCCTGGTAACTTGTTGTTATGCCCATAAATCAATGCATCCCACAACTCTCACCAAAAAACCTTCTTTATGCAGCAAACGGTGATTAGCACAGAAGCCCACAACTGGCCAATGTGCAGAGAACAAGAGGCTGCAGAGTGCTTATACCTGGATAGGACACTGCATCAAACCTCAGCCTCCCAAGGCTCAGGGATCATTGCAGAAGGGTCCAGAAATATTTTTTTAAGATCCACAGGTAGTGGATGATCACAAGGAAATCGTTTTCCACACAGTTGGTCTGTTACTCATATGAACTCACAGCAATGGTGACAGCTTGCACTGGGTAAGCAATCCCAACCTTCCCTGAGGAACTGTTGGTATCAATGGCTATTGGGAGAGGGATAGTCAGTCTCTCTCAAGAATGGGACTCTTGGTAGGTTAACCAGGCTCCAGTGGATGGACCTCCACTGAAGGACATTTGGAGACACAAATTGGACTCTATAGGACACACACACACACACACACACACACACACATATATATATGTATATACATTAAATTGGGTGGGGAGCAGTGGGGAGAAGTACAAATAGGGAGAGGATCTAAATACCATCAGAATATATGAAAATCACAAAAATTCAGTAAAAAATAAAATTGTTATTTATTTTCACTTTTGTATATGCATGTTTTGCCTTCATGTGTATATGTGTACTACATGCATAAAATGCCTATAGAGGCCAGGAGAGGGCATCACATCCCCTAGAACTAGAGCTATGGACAGTTGTGAGCAATCATGTGGGTGCTGGGAACCAAACCTGGGTCCTCTGCAAGAACAACCAGTGCTCATAACTGCTGAGCCATCTCTCCAGCCCCTAAGGGGAAATAATTAAATATGAGAGATGTTCACACTGAAACAGCAAGGCGGTAGGGAGGGGTGGGAAGGGATGTAGCAGATGGAAAATCATCTGTCCACTCCCCTTTAGGCTGATGCCAACTCCAGCACTAAGGGGTCACTGGGGCCTTTGTCTCCCCTGCCTCACCCAGCTTCATCCTCCACACCTGCAATGCTGGCCAATAACTGAAGATGTGTGTGATGTGACTCCAGTATAAACCAGCCAGGAGGCTTTGTGATGACAGGGAGCCCATTTCAGCCATCTCCATGTTCTGTACTGCTGTTCCATTTGTTATTTTCTAGAAACATTTGTCAAATCAAATAAAAATATTTAGAAAGAGATGACAAGAGAAAGGAGACCAGCAACAGTGAGCATTCCAGGAGGTGTGCAAGAAACAACACTCACAGAGAGGTGAGGGAGTCAGTGAGGGAGGTGAGGGACTCAGTGAAGGTGAGGGACTCTGTAGAGGAGGTGAGGGACCTGGTGAAGGAATTCAGTGGAAGGAATTCAGTGGAAGAAGTGAGGGACCCCGTTCCGCTGAAACCCTCTGGGACAGCTGCAGGGAGCTTGAGGCTGCATTCAGTAAGAAGATGGGATCTGAAAGATGCCACAGGGATTGAGTAGAAGGAGATAGAAATTAGAAGGTGGGCTTTTAGACTTCAGAGTAAAATACTTATACTTAGAAAATTTAACGTTGAAAAGCTATTTAATAATCTCTAAATTGGATTAAACCAAAACAAAATTGAATGCTTCTAGAATTTTCATCCCTCTATATTTCTGCTTTTCTCCTCATGTACTGTTCATGGCATAATCCTGAAATTGAGGGTCTCAGTGTCTGGTGCTGAGTGTCTGGTGCTACTCCCTCAACACATGACTCAATGAATTAGAAAAAGGGGGTCTTCAAAACATACAGGCCTGGGCTGTTGAGGTAGTTCAGTAAGTAAAGGTACTTGCTGCAACTCAAATTCGACCCCTGGATCCTGCACGGTGGAAAGAGAGAACCGACTCCCACTAGTTGTCCTCAGACCTCCCCATGTTATGTTCACACCTCACCTCATGAAATAGGTGAATGTTTAAAGAAATGAGGCAAGGGGCTGGAGAGATGGCTCAGTGGTTAAGAACACTGGTTATTCTTGCAGAAGACCCAGGTTCATATCCCAGCACTCACATGGCAGCTAACAACTGCCTATAACTCCAGTCCCAGGGGATCCAACAGCCTCTTCTGACCTCTGCAGGTATTGCATGACACAGGTGCACTTACCTACCTGCAGGCAATACATGCATACACATAAAATAAAAAAATAATAAATAAAATTTAAAAAGAAGAAATGAGGCAAACAAAATGAATGCATGTATTCCAGATGCATATTTTTAATTCAATCATTATTTATTATGTGTATGGGTGGGGGGCACACACTCATGAGGACATCAGAGTTCAGCTTGTGAAAGTTCTCTCCTCCATGTGAGTTTCAGGAGTTGAATTCAGGTCATCACATTTGGCAGCAAATGTCTTTACCCACTGAGCCATCTCACTGGCCCCTAGATGCATATTTATAGGAAAAAAAAGTTTCTCAAAAAGGGAAATACCTGGTTGAGGGTTATGAATTTGGGAGGATGGAATAGTGCCCTACCTTGAAGATGGCTCCACTATCCGAAGTGTTAGCCCAGCCGGTGGAGAATGCAGCCACTCTGCCCTTCCCTAGGGTTGTAATGACAGAGCCAATGACATAATCAGAAGCAATCAGCAACACGTTTCCTGCATTGCTATGCAAATCACACCACCACTAAATTAATAGTTGTCATTCCTATGCGCCTTGGTCTCTCAACCCTTTCATTTCGGTCTCAGAGATTAAGACTAAAGGCATATTTCTAGCATCAGTCAATTTTCAACGATGTGTATTTTCACTCTTTTTTTTGCTAAGCTCTAGTTCACTGACTTAATGGGGAGAAATGATAGTAGTATTAAAAAATAATTATGGTCTTAAAATAGCAGACATGATCTTAACACCAGGACTGTATTCATGATGGTTATGATTAGACCCTTAAGTGCAATGTGAGTGTTCTTCCTTCTTTTGTTTAGAGACAGAGGGTGGAGTACACAATGATTCTGAATGATATTTTTCCTTTTAAAAATTATTTTTGGCTGGAGACATATTAAGATAATTTTGCTGTGGCATGGCTCTAATAAGCAAGTTTACTAGCTTGCCATAGACCCCAAGATGGGGGAGGAGGGTGAGTTGCATATCAGCCACTTTCTAAAGACTCCAATGTACGATTTTTTGGTGGGGGGAGTGGAGAACAATTTCCCTTCTTCCTTCCTTTTATGATCATCTTCTATTAACGGGTTATATGATATCTTTAGTGTCTTGGTGATGCAGAAGGTTGAATGAAATTTATAACTAAAGATTTCCTGTTTTACAGGATGACTAGCAACTAACTGTTCCGTATTCATTGTGCGCTATGTCCTTGGCTAGGTGGCTCCATGAGTTGTGTGCAGTCCAAGTACTGTTGTCAGGACGTAGACAGGAATGATGACTAAAGACTGTGCTGTGTCCACGACTGTTTCAATGATTCATGACCTGGCTTTTCTGGCTCCCAAGCTGAATCAGAAAGATAAATTCACACGACTGAAGCCTGGTTCTGTAATGTGTCCCACTCCTATAGTCAACAACCTTAAGACCTAAGAGGAAGGACTGGAGAGATGGCTCAATGGTTAAGAGCACTGGTTGCTGTTATAGAGGACCTGGGTTTGGTTCCCAGCACCCGCATGATAGCTAACAACCATCTGTAATTCCAGTTCCAGGGGATCTGACTCCTTATTCTGGCTTCCACACACATTGAACACATGGATGCACTTACATACATGCAGGTAAAACACTCAGACACATAAAATAAAAATAAATTGATTAAATTCTTTTTTAAGAGCTTGTAGAGGAGCAGATATGTCAGTCTACTCTAAAGACTGGAAAAGACCAATGACCCAGCTCAAGGCAACAGGTAGGGGGTAGGGGGTGCAGGGGGCAGCCTCTTCCTTGAAGGAGGGTGGCCCTTTGCATCTGTTCCAGCCTTCAAAGGACTGGAAGAAATTAAATCTCAAGAGGAAGAACCACATACTTTGCTAGATCTTCCAATTCAAGAGTCAACACCATCTAAGAACAACTTTTTAGATACATCCACAATAATGTTTGACCAACTATCTGGGCACCATGTGGCCCAGCCAAGCAGCTAAGCAGAATTAACCACCCCAATAATGGAGCACAGAGCTGAGGGATACAATGAGATTGATAGCTTACGTGCTTGGCATCTCTACATCTAGCCATTTCTGACCTCTGATGCTCAGTCCCCACTTTGCTTTTGGAAGGAGGAGGAAGGGAAGAGTCCTTAGTAATATGAACACCTTGTCATCAAATGCCTCTGCCTTCTCCCATAGCCCCAGTGATACTGGTGGAAGTGGGGAGCACAGCAATGCCCACCATCCTAAAATGCACAGAGCCCTGTGGAACACAGCTGCAAGGCCTGTGAAGCAGATTCCCACTGAGGTTAGAGTTCACACCATGAACCACCAGGCTGGCGCATCGCTTCCGGGCTTCACACAGAACAGGATAAACATGTATTGTGAAAATACAATGCTTTTGATGTATTTGTAATCTTTCAGTAATTTAAAATTTGTACATAGGTCTGTTGTTAATTTTGATGAAAAGAACGTAGAGAAACAAAAGATCCCTGTTCACTTAAAAGTAAACCTGGATTGTCTGCTGAGATGGTTGGAATAAACTCTTGATAGGAAGAATTAGGTCTTGAACACCTCCTGATTTTTCAGGGTCTTTGTCCAAATGGTCCAGTGTTCAAGAATCTACTTGCAATCCCTTGCCCTGTACTCTTTTGTGCTATGGAAATGGGACTAAACAGGCATGAATTGTAATTGCTTCCCAAGGAAGTTTATATTCCTATTGATGTGTCTGTCCAGGAGTGCTGGTTCTCTATTCATGCAGAAATGCTTATTGCTAAAAATAAAAAAATCCCCCAAGCAATTACCACAGAAGCCTATCTCACAGTAAGACAATGTACCCCATTTCTGGCTAGAGGCCTCTGTTTGTGCTATAATAAGCCAGTTCCATATTACCACATGTTCCTTTAAAGCTGTGAGCTGCTTAAACTGGTCTCTACCTGCCTTACCCAGTTGATCATTTGGTGCATCCCCAGGACATAAGAAGGCTAAAGCCATCTGGTTCACAGAGCTATGCAGATGTTCCCAGTCAACCTGTACCTCAGAGTCCATCATTTATAAGATGGAACAATTTAGAGTTTCTAGATCTACATTTTAAGATTGACTTTTTATTCAATTTTGAGAATAAGTCGATATAAGAGATATGAGAAAATGCATTAAATTCTCCCAAAGGCAGCTCACTCTTCCTTCCTTCCTCCTTCCCTCCCTTCCTTTCTTCCTTTCTCTCCTCTTCCTCCTCTTCCTCCTCCTCCTCCTCCTCCCCCTCCTCCTCTTCCCCATTCTCCTTCTCCTCCTCCTTTTGTAATATAGGGTTATCCCAATGGGGATCATCTTAGGAAATCAGTTAGGCTCCTGTAGGTGCTAATGGAGGGTAGGGGTTCTCCACCCTTCCCTGCTCCAGCATAGATGACAATCACAACCCGTGGAGGCCATGGAACCCCTAAAAGCTCTGCACTCCAGCTTTCTGGGGAGTGGACCCCTCAAGGAATGTGTTATGCCAGTCAGGAATAGATCCTTCTCAGTAGGAACTCCCTTTGGGATGTGGCTAGGACCCAAAGTGGAAAGCGTGACAGGTCCCACCCATCACTCTACATTTCCTTCTTCTTCCTAAAGCAGATGGGAAAGCACAGGACTAAAACCAGGTCATTATAACCAGGCTGCAACTGCTTTAACGTCTTGTCTTTTTTTTTTTTTTAATGTGTATGTATGCATGTATTGCCTGCGTGTAGGTAAATGCACCCCTGTCGTGCAATGCCCGCGGAGGTCAGAAGAGGCTGTCAGATCCCCTGGGACTGGAGTTATGGACAGTTGTTACCTGCCGGGATTCAAACCCGTGTTTTTTGCTAGAACAACCAGTGTTCTTAACTGCTGAGCCATCTCTCCAGCCCCTAATGTCTTGTCTTTTAAACTTGAACAATGTGGCTACTTAAAACTCTTACTGGGATAGATTATTTGAGGTGTGTGTATCTGACAAAAGCAATTTATGGGAGGAAGAGTTTATTTTGGTTCATAGTTTGAGGGGAAACAGACCATCATGGTAGAGAAGGCATGGTGGCAGCCAGCTCCATGGTGGTGGGAAGGTGAGACTGCTTGCTCACATCACAGCAGATCAAGAATTTCCCCCAGCAGGGAGGGGATCATGATGCTGTGGGTGAGAACTGCTGGTGTAGAGCACTAAGCACTATATGGGGCGAGAGATTGGGCCACTGTGTCTAAAACCATCTGGGCAGCTGCTCCTTTAAGACATCCAAGCATCCTGAGGTTTCAGAATGAACTTCTGTTTCCTTCCATAAAATGGGAGAAATCCTAGGATTAGAGACAGTGTATGGACGTATGTCGCCTGCAAGTGGGAAGAGCTCTCTTACTGGAGATACATACTGGAGAGTGCTTCTGGGCTTCCGCAACTCCAGCAGTGTCACTGAGCACTGTGGGTGCTGTGTGCCCCACCTGGATGTTGTGGACAAGTAGAACTGAACAGGCATAATCCACGTGTTCCGGGACAAGGCTTGGTGGACCTGTGTATGAGGAATTCCAACATCACTTATCGCGGACAAAACCTGCATGACAGGGACAGAGAAAGCTCCATGGAAGCAAGGTTAGTGAGGGGAGAGTCGCATGTGTTCACCCTGAGCCAAGATGGAGACTGTTGCCCTGCTCAGGATCCTGAGAAACAACCACCCTTCCACCTTACCTAAATGCACTTAGAATGTGCAAAAGAATTATTTTTCAACAACAGAAACAACAAACAAAACCCAGGGCGAGTGGGTGCTGAAAACACAAAGCCATTTCTTGGTGCCTTCCAAGGGAACCCAAAAGAAAATTACAAGCAGCGATAACAAAGTACTTGAGATGTGGACCTGTATGAAATGCGTAAGTTCCCTGACTAGGTATAATCCCTTTCAGCTTTTATGCACAAGCAACTGATAGGAGGCTGCAGCATCTAGACAGAAAGGGCAGGCCAGCAGAGTGCAGGGGAGAGGCCAGTGGAGTGCAGGGGAGAGGCCAGCGGAGTGCAGGGGAGAGGCCAGTAGGGTGCAGGGAGAGGCCAACACAGTGCAGGGAGGACACAGAGGTTCCTTTCTGCCTTTAACAATTTCACCCTAGTGAAAAGAGCTAAATGCTTTTCTTCATCATGACTGGAACAGTGAAGTGGTCTCCCCTCCCTCAAGGGCTCCCCTCCTTCACGTTTGCTCATCTCTGTAGCCTGGCTGGGCTTAGTCCATGACCTGAGCCCAAGAGCAGGCTAGGAGTTTTGCAAGCCAAGTGGCTGCTTGGTGTGCAGGCCATGGTGATAGAATCCTGTCCTTTGTCCTGTGAAGATGTTCAGTACAGCCTCTGAGACTGGGGGAGCCTTGGGGTTGGATGGGGGTTTGGAACATCAGCTCACAGGGAGCTGTGGTCCAGCTGCCAGTCTGGAGGTTATGACAGTGTGAGCCTTTCACATGGGAGAAGTGTGATTAATGAG